TATAACTTTCTACAAAACGAAATCGTTTTATTAAATGGATTGTATAATAAAAATAAATCCCGACTCTACAAAATTCTGTACCCTTTACGCAAGAGGCCCATAGCAAAATATTTTTGTAGGGATATGTAAGTCTACTAATCGATTGAACTACAAGGTACTATAAAACTCAATGGATGGTCTAGTTCCATGGCACAAAAAATAGGTAGTACATTTAGCGCAGCTCGATTAACTGTCTCGATTAACTGTCAAAGTGGTTAATTTTACTTCAATTCGATGTGCAAAGTTGCCAACCATGTGAAATATTATAAGGAAAAAGTTGACAGATGGTCGAGACAAAAACAAAAGTTTTTGTTTTGATACATCACCTTATTATTGCATCGTGCCTAGTATCTTTTAAGGAGCTAAGTCCAAACCACTCCACATGGCACAATTAATAGGTAGTCCATTTAGCGCAATTGATGACTCGATTAACTGTCAAAGTGCGTAATTTGTACATGGATTCAATGTAAAGTATTATAAGGAAAAAAAAAATTGACAGATGGTCGAGACAAAAACAAAGGTTTTTCTTTTGATAAATCACCTTAAATTACGTTTACATTTAACCAGATTTCGTTAACCCAGTGGGTTTCAATTGTCAATTACTTTGCATATATGTCCAATGAATCCTCATACAGTAGGTTAATCCGGTAAAAAGTTCTAATGTATTTGCCGTTTTATAGTTGCATCATGCTACTTCAGAACCGAGATTATCCACCTTTAAAACCTTCTACTGTACATATATATAAAAAATAGATCCCTATTTAATAAAATTTTTACTCGATTTTGTTTTCGATAACCCTCTTCTATTTAAAGCTGACATGTAATTAATAACGATACTTTGTTTTAATCTCAAAATATCGTACATTTAATGTTACATAGGCAGTCGGATTTTTTTCCTCTTTCAAACTCATAAATCTTAATCGAAAAATCTCCTGACAAAATATTCTACTGTCAATTAAATTAAAGTTCAATTTACGCAACAGCGAAGTTAACGTTAACGGCAAAACTTTTTAAAACACGAGTTCACGATTCATATGAAATCCATTCGTTGGGTCTATGCAAGACGCATAACATCTAAAAACCCATGTCATGAACTAACTAACTGGGCTTATTATTCACATTACAATTTAAGCCAGCTACTGGGCGAACGTTTTTGATTCCGTACTAAAATCAAAATGTATGATTTAGTATTGGAAGGAAAAGAAAAAAACAGTTATATTTAAAATTTTGTTTGGCTTAGAATTAAAAATTAACCCACGCTGTGCTAGGTGGTTTAGAAGGAAGCAAATGAACAGCCTAATACTGCCAGAAATTTTAAGGTGGTGGTATTAAGCAATTGACAATTCGTGCTGTGTTGAGGTTTTTTCAATATTATTTTGGCAATAAGAAAAACAAAACCGCAACAATTTCAATTCGGCATGTCTGATTGTCGCATTTCATTTGAGTGGCTAGGTGGCTGCCTCGTTGACTTGTTGGTTGCTTGGGTCGAGATATGGTTTCTGGGTAAAATGATATCTAATGCGGAAAAAATTTCGTACATATATATTTCAAAGTAGCAGCATTTGCATTTCAAAGTTTTCGGTTACCAATCGTTGGGTTTTGTTTGTTAGGTGTAGGTACTAGGTAAATATGTTTGTTTGTCATTTCAACAAAGGCGGTAAATATCTGTCCAAAGTTTTATTTTTTCCCCTGCTGTTTCTTTTTTCATTCCCAATTCAAAGACCATTTGGACTTTCGTTTTTTTACAAAAAACCCGACATTTCAAACAATTATTGTAATGTTTGCTGGTTTTTGATTGTCATTCGGTTTTTGGTTTTGTTCCCCTTTTTTTGTGTCTGCAAAGTGACCACCCACACTTGAGAAATAGAGCGACCAGACGACATTCATGGCAATTGACTTAAAACTACACCCACTGCCACCATTTTTACTGAAATTGGCAGACCCAACTCTGTTGGTGTAGAGGTAATAACAGCTAAAACTCAAATATGCATGTGTCTCCTCCATTGCAAGGGTCACAAATATGCCAAATGGGTTTTTATTCTTCCGGCAACTTCCCTTCCCTCATAGCTGCTAAACAAGAAATCCAATAATTTAGACTGAGCGGTAACATAATAGAAGTTTACAAATATTTGAATTTTTTCCTACAATTACAACAGTAAATAATTTGACGGAAGAAATAAGTGAATGGCTATACTACTAATCACCTAAATAACTGCAAAGAATGAAAAAACGAATTCTTGTTTTTTTGCTAATACTTTCATAGATTTGTCAAGTTAGACAAGAGTATTTGACAAATTTGAAAATCAAATTGTTGTTAAATTCTTTTTACGGCATTCGTAATTCGTTTAGGTTTATAGCTTTAACAATATTGCATTTTGATTGAATCCTCATTTATTATTCAAATAAAACTAACAAAGTCGAAGAAATATTTTAATATCCATAAAAAATCCTTTATAGTTGTATAAGTTTGATACGTTCTGACTCAACTTATCGAGCTCAGTCAATCACATCTGCTGATTGATACCACGGGCATCTCCACGGCAATAATATTTCACATGGTTGGCAACATTGCACATCGAATTCAAGTAGAAATTACGCACTTTGACAGTTAGTCGAGAAATCAGCTGTGCTAAATGGACTAATTATTTATTGTGCCATATTTATTAGCCCACTCACCCTTTAACATGTTTTTTTAACTGCTCTGCCCACAAGTGCTTGATTGAGTTCAAATCGTGTGATTGTGCTGTTTCCAAAACATGGGAACAGTTGTATATGAGCCACACGTTCACATTCAAGGCTTTGTGTTTTGGATCGTTGTCTTGATAGAAGGAGAAATAATCGTCAATACCCAAATTTCGAGCTGAATTTCTTAAACTATTTTTAATAATATCCAAATACATTTTTTGATCTATATTTTCCTCTATAATACAAAGAATTCCAGGTGCATAAGCTGACATGCACCCCATACCACAATCGATCCATTTCTCATTTTTTTCGAGACACTCTTCCATAAATTTTATTTCTTCTGAGTAAGTTTCGAATTGTTTCAGGATTGGTAAACTTTTTAAGATAGTGCGAAACTATGGCAGTCATCTTTGATGAAATTAGGTTCGGATTTTTCTTAATTCGCTTGTCCATATCTGAAAATATCCGCATCTTGCCGCAATTGAATTGGATGACTTATTTCGTTTTATTATTTCCATTTAAGATTTATCCAATATCTCACGCCGATTTATCGTCTTCGAAGTGTTTTATAACCAGTTTTCTAACATTCACAGAAGTTTGACCACATTATCAACCCATTTTTATCAAAAAAAACCTTTGTTTTTGTCTCGATTATCTGTCAAATTTTTCCTTATAATGTTTCAAATGGTTGGCAACACTGCACATCGAATTTAAATAGAAATTACCCACTTTGACAGTTAATCGAGACATCAGCTGCGCTAAAAGGACTACCTATTCATTGTGCCATAGATATTATAACAATAAAGTATAAAGTGTTCCCAGATAGAAAAATAACATAAATAAAGAGAGTTTGTAAATGTGATGCCAGATGCCTCACTTTCATTTTGACGCGAAAAAAATATCTATTTCGAATAACTGTAATTTTATTTAGTTAAAAACTGAGCAAAAGCAAGGTTTCTTGACACCACCATCCGTGATACGATCAGGAGTGTCGTAATGCTAACGATATGAAAAACGCAGTGTACATGGTAACCCTGTAGACAGTAGAAACACGTAATGCAAGAGAGAATTATCGGGAGAAAAGAAGAGAGAATAAACGTATTTTCAGAAAAAAGAAGAAAGAACAAGAAAAACTTGAGCGGGAGCAAATCGAAATGTACAGGAATCAGAACGAAGTCCGGAAATTTTACCAATGAGTAAAACACCAAAACGAAGGCTTTGGTGCAGGCACACACTCCTGTAAAGATGAAGAAGGAAACAGACAGCGTGTTGAGGATCTGGAAGGAGCATTTTGAAAAGCTTCTGGTATCAAATAGTGGCGGTGAAGAAGATACCCCAGAACCAATAAGAGAGTGTATACCACCTAGCCAAGATGAGTTCAGAATAGCAATAAATCGCCTGAAGAATAATAAAGCAGCTGGTGATGATGGGTTATCAGCCGAACTATTTAAGACTAGTGGTCAGGATTATGCACCAGCTGATTAGTACAATTTGGGTAGAGGAATGCACGCCCAATGATTGGAACCTCAGAATTGTGTGTTTTGTGCACAAAAAAGGAGACATGTGCCAAAAGGAGATATGTGTCAACTATAGAGGAACAAGTCTCCTTCCCATCGCTTCGACTGAAGCCAATGGGTAATGAGCTTATTGGACCATACCAATACGGCTTCATAACTGGCAAATCCATCCTAAAAAACCCTCGAAAAACACATCGACACATTCCACCTATTCGTCGACTATAAATCCGCATTCGACAGCCCTATGCGTTCAGAGGTGTTTGAAGCCATATCTGTGTTCGGCTTTACTGCAAAATTAATACGACTATACAGGATAAGATTAACTGGCACATGATCAACAGCTAGAGTATGAAAAGACCTATCGGAGCCATTTAATACCAAACGAGGATTCAGACAAGATGACAGTTTGTCGTGTGATCTTTTTAACATCCTACGAGATGCAAAGGTGAACAGAAATGACACTCTGTACACCAAACAAAACATGTTACTCGCATACGCCGATGACATCGATATAATGGGCCGAACACTGCGAGCGGTAACAGCCACCTTTGAATAAATTGATAAGGAGTCTACCAAAGTGGGTATGGTAGCAAATGGCGAGAAGACCAAGCTGATGGTATCAACGAGCAAGACGTCCAGAGACTCGGACCAACTGTGAAACAGAGTTTGTTTTTTAAGTCTTTTGATTTCGTGCCTTAAAGTTTTTTTTTCTAGTCTCAAGATTTATGTTCTTCAGTACTATTTTTGTGAGTTACTTACCCTTGAAATAATAATACCCGCAATGCTGACACGTATTTTTGGTTCTTTCAGCAGACGATATCTCAAATCAACACCATTCCAGAAGGCAATGAAATAACGTTTCACCTAGAAAATAAATTTATGAAAAAAAGAAGAACAAATAAATAAATAACAAATTATCAATAAAACGGCATCTAGAATTTTTTGTTTTATGACTCTCCCATATCATGGAGAACCATAAATTATTAGTTTCTCCAAGATAGGTTCTCCTAAAAATAAAATAATAAAAATATACTTTGAATCGCATGAATTTTAATATTCATAAAATGTTTCCTCAAATGATTTAAGAGATTTAATAGGAAATAAAATTGTTTTGATGTTTTTCGTTAAAGAAGAACACATGTTTTTTGCAAAAAAAAGTAAATAAATAAAAATAATTTAAAAAAAATGTTGTAGGAAATTTAAAGAACACAAGGTTGTGTTCCCTTCTATGAATGGGTGGGACTTAAAAAATGAAATACACCTAATTCTAGCTGAACAATTAATGAATTATATACGATACCTGTAAATTATCACCGCCATGCAGACGATAACCATCGTAGTCAACAATAACTAATACTTCAGGATAGATCATATAGGGTGCATGTCGCTTGGCCCTCTTGTGTGTGGAATGTTCATCAAAGTTGATGCCGTCTTCTGCTTCCAGCTCTTCTTGTTCCTCTTCAATATCGGCTAGGGTATTAAAATGTGCGGAACGTTTTTGTCTCTCCTGCAGTTTTTCCAATTTTTCATGGGTTGCCATATCATCGGGTTCCATATAGGCTGGAAAAGAGAAAATTAAAAAATAAAAGGAAGGTTAGAAAATTTTAGAATAATAAAAGAATAAAAGGATATATAGGAAAAGGATATGCCTGTAGATAAAAAATAAGATAATTTTTAAAAATTTTCAGGGCCACAACTTTTTCAGGTTTTCTGTTTATTTTAGATAAGAAAAATGTCCCAGAGTATGTTGACATTAAAATGTATTTTTATTTTTCATAGAACCTGATATCTGGCTTTTTGTGTATTTTATTTATTCTTTACACAAAAACAAAAGACTTAGGAAACAAACATCAAAACCCATTGCTACGCCACAAACATACAAAAATCGCATTTTAAACACAAATAAATAGGTTCTATGAACCCATTCTAAGGTTACCAAATGTTATCATTACCAAAAATTTTCTTTGAAATGTTACAAAAACCGATACAATACAAAGACCCCATCTTCCTAACCGCCAACCATGGACCTACGTGACTAAACATGTTATTACCTTGTTTTTAAAGTAACAAAAACTCATTACCTTACTCCCTCTCTTTCCCCACCACCTACAGTCAGCTTACGTAACTAAATTGTTTTCTAGATACCATATACACTTCTTATCCGATAAACCTCAAACCGCAACCCGGCCAAAAACCTAATAAAAATTCCACTATTCGCAAATAAAATAACTTCAGCAGACGACGCCCAAAAATATATATTCTCTTAAGATTTAACATAAATTTTCGGTTTAAACGAAATAAAATTTTATGGCAAAAATTTATTTTTAAAAATATAAATAAAACCCCCGAAAGAGACGTCAATATGTCGTATCATGACGACGACGCCTTAACCTTCGCATTGAGCGCCACGGGTCAATCTCCTTTAATGGGAAAAATTGTACTGTTGCTTCGTTTTTGTTTTATTACTTTGTTTTGGAATCTTCTTCATCGTCGTCGTCATATTCGCTAGACAGAAGTGAATTTACCATTTTTGTATTGTGTGTATTTTTATTTTTTGACAGGAAGGCTTGTCTGTTGTTTATTTTTTCTGACTTCATAATTTATAAATTTTATGAACCTCCATTGGCTAAATTGTACAGTTTAATGCCTCGAAATACAAATTTAATTAGGTGCTACCGATGTTCGGTTTTCTGTTCGAAACAAATTAATTACAATAATTGTTTAATAATTTTTTTGTTGGGGGATTACAAGCAAAAATAATGACAAGCACATGGGAAGTAAGGAAGCAGAATGGAGAGAAAAATTGTTAAAGAGCGAGAAGAGAAATTATGTCCTCAGTTGAAGAAGAGCGATTTTATTTCTATAGAAAGGAATCCTGAGTAACAGGCGGGAATTTTTCCTCAGAAACTGAGGAGGGTTATTCCTATATAAAAAATTCCCCAGTCACTGAGGAGAGATTTTCTAAAGAAAAAATTCTCAGCCACTGATGAGTGATTTCTCTGCAGAGATAAATCCTCAGCACGGAGGTAAGTTTATTCTATAAAAAAAAACACCCGCAGAGACTGAGGAGAGATTTCTGTATAAAAAATCCTCAGAAACTGGGGAGTGTTTTTACAACAGAAAAAAAAACTCCTCCGAAACTGATGTGAGCTTTTTCAATAGAAAAAAATCTTCAGTAACTGAGATGAGATTTTTCTATAAAAAAAATCCTCAGTATCTGAGGTGAGTTTTTTCTATAGGAAAAAAATTCTTGAGTTTCCTGAGTCACTGATGTGAGGTTTTGCTGTAGAAAACAAATCTCAGTTATTGAGGAGAGTTTCTTCAATTGAGAACAATTCTCAGTAATGAGGACATTTTCTTCAATAGAAAAAAATTCTCTGTTACTGACGTGAGTTTTTTTCTATGACAAAAAAATCCTCAGTAACTGAGGTAAGTTTTTTCTCTATAGAAAATGGTTTTTTGATACTGAGATTTTTTCTGTAGAAAAAATTATCGGCTACTGATTTATCAGTCTGTACAAAACAAATCAGAGTTAACTGTTAATAACTGAAGGAGGTTTTCGTTTTTTCGGGACTTACGGATTTGCCAGTCTCCCCAGGAAGTTTGTCAGAATCCTACTGAGCGCCTCACCAAATTGTGGATAAGGGATAGGTGAATGGTCATACTACTCTAATAGCCAAGAATCTATGTCAGTTTATGAACCCCTGGGAAAGAGCAATTTCGAACCCCAACCTTCCCAAACAGGAGGTGACTTGAATTCAAATTCCAAGTCGGAAAACAAATGTTTGAGAGCGGAAAGGCTGATAAGATGGTAAAAAACGTGAGCAAGCTCACGACAAAAAGAAGCACATAATCGGGAACTGGGCAGGATGAATCGAAGACAAATTAGTGAGTAGCACACCTAACCCCATAAGGGTTAGGTCTCCGGGAAAGCAGACGAATCCCAAACCAGTTAAGAAAAACCAAACCAGTGTTATTTTTTTTTTTTTTTGGGAAACGTTTCCGAACTGTGTTATTGCTCGAAGAGGAGATCGCAATTGGTCGCCGTGATCTTGTGGTTTAACACCTTGCAACTGCTTCCCTTGGGGCCATGTGAATGATAAGGTTTACCTCAACAGCCCAGTGTCCAGTCAAGGTCCTCAAAATATAATTCTTAAGGGGATCGGGAACAGTTTTTTTGGGTATTGGTTATGTAAAATTTCATGAAGATGATTTGCTTCTGTAAGCGATCTCGTGGTGACCAGTTGGCTGTTATTGTTATACTATCCACCTTAATAAGAAATAAATTCTAGGTCGATTTCGTCATGCCATAGAACTCACAATATCTTCCTTTGGGGGCCACGTAAAAAATAAGGTCTATCCCAAGAGCCCATCGCAGGTTCATAATCTGAAATATAAAATCTGGAACATTTTTCAACAGAATTGGCTGTAATTTCGTATTTTAGGTTATCATTAGATAGCAAATCTTCCTACGAAAAATTGTCAATATTGGTTCACTTTTTACGAAAGCCCTCATATAATGGAACTTCCATTGTAGGGACTGTCATTTAAAATTTTGGATTCCCAAATCTTCTTACAAAAAATTATAATTAATGGCCCAAATTTCGATGTAATCTCCATATAATGGTATTTTCTACTATTCGGAATTTTTAAACATTCAATTGACTGTAATGCGATTTTCATTGGATTTTCATCGAAGCTCCTACCAAAAATTATAATATCGGTCGATATTTGCCCACTTTCTAGGTATTCCGTTGGTCCTAGGCGCATTTTCCAACAGAAGGGTCTATATTTTAGCACTATGAAGTATTTAAACTATTGTGGGTAAATAACTTTTTTGCAGAATACTTTCAATATTTCAATTAAGTCCCCATACATAGGTTATGGGTCCAAGGTTATAATATAATTATCAAAAGTGTCTGTAGAGTGTTTTTTTCATTTTCCCCTGTGTAACCGTGGCATGGCCCCGATATTAAAGCCCCGATCGGTCAATCTTTGTGTATAGCCTCATATAATGCCTCAACTCCTATATAGGTGATATTATGGTACTAGATCACTGACTATATTTTATCTTTACAATTATGGGGGACCTTAGTGAGAAAAATTTTTTCCAGAATATTTTCAATGTAAGTCCATGTTTCCATATAAAGATGATACCTTATTTTCGGTATCCTTAATGCCATAACCCAATTCTCCAACCTGAATGTCTATACATTGGTTTTTCTTTTTCACTTGACACCAATTTTAGGATGGCTATGTCATATAATTATCCATATCGATTTTGGACATTTTTTAATTCCCACCTCATTTCGGAGGGTATAAAAAGTTCAAACGAGGCGAACTTAGCGGAGTTTTTACTTGGCCCATTTCTCATGATTAAGGGAACCCCCCCCCATTCTCGATTTTTTATTTTTAAGATTTTAAATGGGCTGGTAAATGAATACCAATGCTTGTTAAGGTTTGTAACTTGGCACATATGTATTTGAAGATTTAAAAAGGATGAAAAATAATTTACCAAAATTTGTTGTTGTTTTTTGGGTTCAAAGAAAAGTCCATATTTTCGATGGCGGGCATGATAACTCCTCATTGGAACATCGGAATCCGAAAATTCCAATTGTTTTAGAAAGAGGACATGTCATGACAATTAACAAAATGGCGGAACTTTGAAAAAAATTTTATGGAAAATCGCCTATTTTTTACCACATACTAAGTTAAAAAATAAGGAAGATCTTCACCGATTGGCTTTATCCTAGTTCATACGAGAGCTACACACTCCCAGAGAAACGTGTCAAAATTTGAAACCGATTGGATTATTAGTTTTTGAGTTATCGTGCCCGCCATTCGCTTTGAGAAAAACGCGTTTAAAGTTTGAGAAGCCCTTTAGCCGTCACTTGATGCTAAAACAATAAATCGGCTATATCTTTAAGAGTTCTTGAGATTTTCACTTGAAATTTTGTAGAGACATTCTAGAATTAGAGTAGATTCGAATTAAATCAAAAAAATTTTTGACACCGAGAATGGGGGGGGGGCCCCTTAAGGAAATAAATGAATTCTGAAGCCTAATATCCTCTTCTCTTTTCAGTAAATTTGTTGTCCATCGTTTTATTTTCTTCGTGATATTTTTTATTAGTTTCCCCGTTAAAACTTACCAAAATCACTTAAATGTTCCATTTGATCGACACTGCGTTTATATACAACATGATGATGTGATGCTTCCGGTTGTGGATTTAATTCATGAGGCAATGGTTTTATTACCATATCATGGCCAATGCTACCCTCCTGTAAAAATACAGAAATAAAACAGAAGATATGAATTAAAAAATCATGGTAATAAAAATTAACTAAGAATACTTTAGATAAAAAGTTATTAAAACCCGACAAGAGTCACGAAGTTTGTTGACTTCTGGTGACACCAGACAGGAGTGTCAGGTGTGAGATTTTATGGAATAAAAACAAAATAATTTAAAATTGAGGTATGAGAGTTCAAATTGGACCTTCCTAGAAGATGAAAAATTAAAAGGGATTAGGGGCTATTAAAAATGAAATTAATATCAGAATCACTTATAACCCAATGAGGTTTGAACTTCAGTCGAAATTCTATATAAAAAAATTGTCAATTTCTCATTGAAAATAGAAACGTTAGAACGTATCTACCTCTTGGATAGTAAGAAATAATTTAATTGAAATCAAAATCATACATAATTTATAATTTAATCCATGTATAAATTCTCAAAATAATTCTTCTATACTTTTCTTTAAAGTAGTAATTTGTCGCCCCGAACTTAAAGATTAAAAAAACTCCCATTGCATTTTAAATTACAAATAATTAGCTTTGTTAAAGAAAGGTTAATTAATTGATTTCAAATTGTGTATGTGCGTTTTTTTTCTCAAAAATATCTTCACACTTGAAATTTATGATTGGCCACATTGCATGCTACGAACATAATTTTGCAATTCATTATATTTTTTATTAGATTGCATCATTTCATCATGAATTAAATATGACGGAGCATATTTCTCATTTTTTACTTCCACTACATTTCTTCTTTTCAAAATCATGGCTTGTTAGTCTTTTTGAATTTTTTAATATTTAATTTTGGTTTTATTTGAAAGAGGAAGATAATGTTTTGTTTTGAGGCCGTTGATGATGATGGGCATGGGAATGAAACGGAAGCATGATTCCGTAGAAATAAAAATTAATTACATTTAAAAAGCAAAAATCATTTATAATGTGTTATAAATGATTTTTGGTTTGTAATTATTGTTTTTTAATAACAAAAACTTGAAAATTAAATCAAAATTATTTCTGTTTCAAAAAATTTTCGAATTCAAAATAGACTATCTAAAAACTTAAGAAACATACGCGTTATTACATCCCAATATTCAAGTTCATCTTTTAAGTCTTTTGATGCATCATCAAAACCTAGCTGTTGGTTACAACATGTCCCAACAGCTATAATTTTTCCAACTATTTGGTTTTAAGATGCATCAAAAGACTTAGGAAACGAACATGAATATTGCTGCTGTTGAAGAATCTCCTATTTTTTACCTCAAATCAATTTAAACAATAAGGAAGATCTTAACCGATTGGATTTATCCTACTTCATACGATAGCTATACACTCACAGAGATACGTCCCAAAATTTGGAATCCAATGGATTATTAGTTTTTGAGTTATCGTGCCCATCGGAAAACCCAAGTGTTTGGAAACCCCTTTTATCTTAATGTGTAGTGTTTATGGGACAGTGAACCTTACTATTTTGAAAATTAAGTTGGATCAACTGTTACAAGAAATGGTTTATGTTAGGAAAATTTCATGAAAAGGATGTGGCCCTGTAAGCATACTTGGGGTAACCATTTGGACCAGTAAAATGAAATTGGATCCATAAATATGTCATTCTGCCCCTCGATACTAAATTTTTCATTTGGTCGGATACAGAAACTATATCTAAATCTGAACCGATTTCAGGAATCTTAACACACATCATTCTAGACCTAATTCATTACGCTGTGCCAAATTTCGTGCAAATCGACAGATATATAGGGACTTTGGTGCACCATTTACATAAAATCGGACGAAAATATATATGGGAGCTATATCTATATCTGAAGCGATTTTCTTGAAACTTGGCACAGACAAGACAAATTTCGTGCAAATCGAAAGATATATAGGGACCGTTTACATTAAATCGGTCGAAAATATATATGGGAGCTATATCTAAATCTGAACCGATTTTCTTGAAACTTGGCACAGACAAGACAAATTTCGTGCAAATCGAAAGATATATAGGGACCGTTTACATTAAATCGGTCGAAAATATATATGGGAGCTATATCTAAACCTGAACCGATTTCAATAGGGTTCGTCCTTGGGCCTAATAAGTGACCTATGCCAAATTTCACCCAATTGGGATTATAAATGCGACCTGTACTTTGTTTACAATTTAATATGGACAGACAGACTGACATGCATAAATGGACTTAAAAAGTGATTCTACGGATATTCTCAAAAGGAACCCTGTATCTATCTCGTTTGCTTTTGCCTGTTACAAACATATGCACAAAGACATAATACCCTGTACCACAGAGTGGTGAAGGGTATAAAAATAGCTTCCAGCACCTTCAAAATAACATTAAAGGGGCCGTCGTCAATGCCAAAACATTAATCTGTATATATTAAACATTTTCAGCCAGGGGGCATTTTATTCTCTTACAATCGCAAATTTCACTTTACTGAAATGAAATATGAACCTATATAACATCGGTTGAAAAAATGTCGAATATGGGGATGAACCGGTTAACAAATGCGACGTGTTTCTAAATAAAATACTGAAAATAGGAAGGTGATCTTTATATGGGAGCCACGATAAAATATGGATTTATAATGAAAAGTTTCTGTCAGGAAATGCCTAACTACAACTACTTCGTTAAAAATACACCCACTTCGTTAAAAATCGCGCTCGGTATTTCTCAAGACATAAAGTCGGTCAGGACCTTCATAGGGGGCCTATGTCAAAACTTGAAAATGTTCGGCGAACCAGTTTTGTAACCATCAACAAATTGGAAGCCAAACAATAATCACCTAGGGCCTTGAAAATACCCAATATAGGCCTAGACCATTATATAGGTACTATGTCATAACATGGAAATATACTGAAGCTTTTCTACATACATTTTTTCGTCCTCCAAGTATCTGAAATATTACATTACAGATCCTACTAAATTTTTTTAGGTATTGATTTTTGATACCCAAAGAAACGTCGTTATATCCTATTTCCAATGACAGACATCCTAAGAGTTGTAGCAATGTATGTGCAGTTTGTAGTGTAGATTACATTTTATGGAAATATGATATCTCATTTTAGTGTACTAACCTTCAACAAGGAAAAGGTACTATCTCAAGTGGAATGCATACAAAAATAAATCCATGCTTAACTAAATTCTCTCTCCTTTATAAAATAAAAAAATAAATTTTTCAAAAATGTTAATGATTGGAATCTAATTTGGGACAGCCCACAATAATAGCAGATTATACACATCTAGCAATTTGTTACAAGAACTACTGGTGTTTTTTTTGCATTTCTTAATATTATTTCGTTTTCAACCACTAAAAATACGCCCAAATCTATCCAAGCAGGTTGGGGTCCAACAGCTTTTCTACTATGTATTTATTTTTCCAATTCGCCTTTTTTTTGGTTGACAAAACAACCAAGTCAAAGACTGAAATCTCAGCATGATAACAAAAATGCGGAAAATATTGCCATTAAGAAGAAGAAAAAAGCCACAGAAATATATGGCTTTTGGCTGCCACCATAACTCTTGATAATTTGGTCTTTTGCTCTTTCGAAAAAAATATGTAGTAAACTAATTTTGTTGCACAAAAGCTACAGTGCAAACGGATTCTGGTGGTTGTGGCTAAGATTTTGTTGTTGCTGTTTTTTGCTTTTCTATTACTAAAAATTATGGTTGTCTTGTTATTTGTCAAGCCATTTCATTTCGGTGTGTCTTTCGTTTCGTTACGTTTTTGCAATTTGGGCGACAACTTTTCAAACTTTTCTTGGTTGGTGGTGTTATAAATTAGTTAACGATTTATAACACATTTCTTGTCGTTGCCAGCGCGCGGCGCGGCATTGCCGTCAGCCAAATAATGAAAGGTGCAAAATAGAAATCAAAAGGAGTTTGAGGTTTTTTGAAAAGCTATGACAAGTAGAATAATGTGTAAGAAATACTAAATGACAGCCACAGCTGTTTCGTGGCATAATAGTAATACTAATAATATGTATGTATGAACACGATTGTGATTTAACAAGACTGGTTAATAAGAATTAGTATAAATAAAAAAATATGTAAAAAAAAATAATTTTTATCCAAAAAAATTTAATTTTCTCGACGGAAACAACAAAAGACTTAAGACACGAACCTATGAACCATGACTTTATTAAAATATTTAATTTTTGGTTTATTTGTATATTAATCTAGGTTTCTAAACTTATTTATGTTTACAAAAGGAATGTAAATTAAAATTAATTCAAAGAGTTATTTACAAAGGGTATTTATTAAAAATTTGGCAATCTGCCGTCTTCGCTTTAAATTAGCATGTCTGCTCGCGTTGTTGTCTCTACAATCAAACATCAAATAAATCGATATTTTCGGCTCGACTTCTAAAAATGTATTATTATATTAAGTCTTAATAATTGAGTTGATGTAAAGGAGAGCTCTAATGGAATTTTAGAGTTGTCATGTGTATTTCATAGTCAACCTTCCATTATTGGTTTCAAAAATTTGATTATAATTTAACAAAAACCTATATTTTAGTACATTTTCATTAAAATTCCATAAAATTGTTAACTATTGGAAAGTAATTTACAAGTTTTGGAAATGACCCCAAATCATTTTATTAATTTCCTCGATAATAAAATTCGTATTAATGTATCACATCTTTTTCATGAGTTATTGAATGTGAATGAACTGTGATATTAACATTAACAAGAAGAAGTTGTAAAAAAATAATCGTGTAAATCAAAATTGTCATAAAAAGCAGAAGTAAAGTGGTAGTTTGTCGCCTCGACAAAATTTATATAGGAAATTAATTTAAATCGGTCTCGGTGGGAATTCCAAGAAATGTTGTGGTTTTGGAATTATTACAATTATTGGCGCCACATAAAACAATTTCTTGGAAATTTAATAATGACATTTTCAGTTATACTTTGGAAGGATACGTGATAAATATGGCGTATTTAAATTTACATAATATGCATGTGCATATTTAGTCTATAATTTGAT